AGAGGAGCTCTCCACCAACTGAATATGCATCTTCTGTTTAGAAATTAGGGAGATGTTTAGAAACATCTTCTGTTTAGAAATTTCGCTTAAGCTGCAGGGAAATTTAGCTCAATAAGAATGAAGTACTTAAAGCCTCCCTAATCTCTTTATGGTGTTTCACCTTTTTCTTCTCTTTAAGTCTTTAAATCTTTGCTTTGCATTTCTATATATTTAAAAATATATAAAACCAACCTTTTGTAATAGAAAATTCCATTCAAAATAACTAGGTTAAGCAGCTTATCACAAGTTTCTGTTATCTCACCATTTAAAAGATGCACTTGCTTGTTAAAAAGCACGATCTCTGGCAATAAAATAGATGTAATATTTCTCTTTATTGACTTAAAATGTGCTATGAAAGAAGGTGCCTTTGACATGTGGTCTCAGGATGATAAAGGTATTATTAAAAAAGAGTTCTCACTGAGTGAGTCTGTACCCATAGATCAGAATTTTATTAACCCTTAGGTAGCCAATTGCTCTGTGAACAAAACAAAACAAACAAACCCTACAATGGGTGATTGGGTGACCCTGAACAAAGCCTTAAAAAATGATGTAAGCTGGTACAGTGTAAAAAAAGGCAAGCAGCAGAAAGCTGTTATTTAAAACCAGAAACAAATCAACAGTAACAATCTAATTAAGGATGAGTTGTACAACAGAAAGATAATCTTCCTGTTTTAATCTCTACCAATCAGTTCTTACTAGATTATACTGTTTCATCTGAGGATTCATAACATAAAAGAGATGAGTGGTTGAACTTAAATGCCCTTTCCTACTCCTTTCTCTGAAATGCTAACATTCTATTAGACAGGAGAAAGAAAAAAAGAAAGAGAAGAACAAAGAGACTAGTGAACATGAAAAGACAAAATTGAAGAAACACAAATCTAAAGAGAAGACTGAGAGGTAAGCAAAGCCTTACTGGTGGACAAATTCCACTGAAAATAAGGAAAAAAAAGACTTTAGTTGTAACCGGAGAAATGAAAGCAAAAGAAGAATTTTCTGACATGAAAATTGAATATAGGAAGAAGTTATAAAATCTTCTTCCCTAAGGTATAGAAAACATAGAAGAAAAAGAGGGATAAGTTTTCAAGGGTCCTCTCAAGTGATAAAAATTTAGCCCACAAACTCCAAAAGATATAGAAAGACAAGTGGATTCAGGGTGTAGTGACAATAGTTGCCTCAAATTCTTTTAAAAACAAATCTTAATAAAATAATCTCAAATCTTGTTAAATAGTTCCTAGGTCATAATAGCAATAACTATACAAAAATAACAATAACAGATAAATATTAAAATATATGCATATTTGTCTGGGTACACCTAGTATAATCTACTAATGTTTCACTTAATTTAATGTGACAATAATCAGCAATCATCCAAAACTTAGAGCAATATTATTGCTTCTTGAGGTGGAGAAGAAAGAAGTGCTTGCCAAAGAGAGAGGACTGCATTTTTACTGTTAGACTTTTTTCATACTAAGAGGCTTACTATTGCCAGACACTGTGCCAAGTACTTTACATGAGTTTTCTCATTTATTTTCACAGATAATTACATGTAGTTGGTATTATTTTTAGCCCAGTTTGGAGAAATTAAGTAACTTGTCCAAAGTTACATTACTATTAAGCCATTTATGCCAGAGGTTGCAAATTTTTTGGTGTGAAATATCAGACTTTGGTGATGACCTTGAGCAGTAGGATATAAATAACTCCCACAAGCTAGTGTTCCAATAATGGAACGCTAGGCATAAATGGACTAACTGTTGAGGCAGGGTTTGAACATAAGCAGGCTAAGTGCAGAGCCTGTGTTCTTAACCTACAGATAATATTGCATTAAATATTACCCAACAATCCCATGAGATAAGGTATTATTATTATTATTATCCCGATTTTAAAGGGATGAGATTGAGGCTCAGAAAACAAGATCACATAACATCTCTGATAGAGCCAGGATTCAATACAAGTCTAAATCCAAAGCCATGTACTTAACTACTCTCTCTTTCTGTCTCTCTCTGAGTCAACATATAATTTGTAATGTCCACCCTGTAGAGATTACCTAGACACTAGGATAGGCAGTTCACCCTGCCTAGACACTAGCATAGGCAGAAGGAATACAAAGATGATTAAGACAGTCCTTTCTCTCAAGAAGTTCACATTTATAGGAAAAGTCTAGAGCTTTCTACTCAAAGTTTGGTCCATGGACCAGCAGTTATGGGCATCACCTGGGAATTTGCTAGAAATCAGAATCACAGGCCCAACCCCAGACTAACTGAATCAGAATCTGCATTTTAACAAGGTTTCCAAGTGTTTCATACACACATTCAAATGCTGGCAGCACTGGTCTAATGGACATTTAAAATAATTCTTATTGTATCCAGTTGCGGAGTTTCCAGGCAGAGTTATCAGCTAGATGCCAGGTAACACAACATCAATGATTGTTTTCAACATTTTCTCCAGCTTCCTAAAAAGAGGCACTGTTGCCTAAAAGTTCACTGTTTGGGGAGAAGTCGTTTTCTTGGATTCATATAATTGGACCTCTCACAAGTTTGAGAAAGTTGCAGGGAGAATAGGGGTATTTAGGTGTCGTTTTTACAGGAATCATGGACTACTAAAATATGCCAATACAGTAAGCCAGACCACCCAATAAGGACCTTCAGTAAAATTGGCAAGGGTCTTTTTTTTTTTTTAATAGCTTCATGCTGTAACATTTTTTTAAAATGTAATTGTCTTAGAGCCAGAAATAAAACAATAGTCATGAACTCAGTCAGAGAAAGAGGGGAAATAAAGAAAAAAATAAACTTATCATACTACATTTGCAATAGAGGAACCAAAACCCAGCAGACCTCTGTCTGTACCAACGCTTGCCCTAGTCAGAGCCTACAGGGAAATGAGTTCATCCAGGCAAGTGCCTAAGTCATGGGTGAGAATGGATCTCTCTCCATCTACTGCAAGTGGTAATCATCTTAAAAACTAGACATTTTTATAAGTAACACTTTTAAAAATCAAGTTCAGATTCTAAACTGGCTATTATAAATGATTCCCACCTTTAAGGCCCTTGAAGTTTAGAATGTTTTGATAATGGATTGCTTTGATAATTTTATAAAACCACAATGTCCTACTTGTGAAATGGTGAGAATTCCTTCCACTGTTCAGTGGAGGTCAGCAGGGACTACTGAACCTTCCAGGAGTACAGCACATAAAATGGCCCTGGTAGCATTTAATGGAACTACTAAAGACTAGCTTTTTACCAATGCACAAGCATTATAATCAGACGGAGGAGGGTAAAGTAGAATACACAAATTTTAGACAGACCTGTGTGTACCTTTGGGTAAGCTATTTTCTTTCCCTGAAACTTAGTTTCCTTATTTGTAAATGGAATTACATTTTTCTCATTTGCAAAATATATGCTTTGAATGCTGGTTATAAGGATATGTGGTAGCATATGTAAAATACCTGGCACTCAACAAATGGTAATTGTTATTCATAATTACTCAAAAAATTGTGAAAGAAGTAAGTACACTTGAGTCCCATAGTAAGACACATCACAGTTGACCATAGTTGGATAATAATGAGGAAAAGTGTCTGAGTTGGGGACTTAACCTCTAAGAACATTTAAAGGAGGAAGAAAGGAGAGACAGGGCTGGAACTTCTGAACATATGTATTAATAAATGATGGCAGCTAAATGCTATGCAGAGCTTTTAATCACACATGTTATCAGAATGTAGACTATCAGAAATGATTTCTACAAAGATGCCTGGTTAGTTGGCATAATGTTCTTATCCTCCCCCATTGCAATTTCCTTTGACCCTCCCAAAGTGTAACATTGTAGGTGTTCTAATGGTCCTGCATATACCACTCTCCTCTCCTAATCTTTTAGGAGGCTGTGCCACTAACTCCCAAGCTGGAGGGCTTCCTGCTGAGCCAGCTAGACAATCAGTGAGTCTAAGAATGTCCTAAATCATTTTTGTAAAAAGACATTTGGTTCTACTTTTGCAACATTAGCAAGAAAGACCTAAGGGTTGGAAGGACTTGCCTGAAGTCACAGCTAGTGGCCAGAGCTTCTGGACCAGCACTTTTCCTACCCTGACCCTCTACTTCTTCCCCATTGCTTCTCCTCTCAGTAGTTGTCTCTTTCCTTCTCTTTTTCTTTTATGTACTATGTCTCTATTATAGTTCCTCATAGAGTCATTTGGGCTCAACCATTATTATTATTTACAATCCATACTACAAATGATGCTTATAAGGATGACACACCTGTAGTTTTAACACAGACTCATTGTAAAATGCAACGTTGACCATTTCTAGATTAAAATATGAACAGATGACTGTAGTACACATTTGGATATGGCATGCAGTGAAATTCCGATACTCTGTTTAATTCATAACACAGAGCTTGGTTGGGGTTCAATGTATTCACACATTTTTATTAGTCTCAATTGAAAGATTTTAAAAGATGAATAAATTAGTTTCCTATTTGCTTCATCTGCTATTGCAGACTATACCCAACAGATGTCACATAAGAAATTCAAATTGTATCTTCAAATGGAACATAACTTTAGTAATGAATAATTCAACAGAATAACTAAAAACCAGAATAATTTTTAGAGCCATTTCTTTTTCTTTCTTGCTTTCTTTTTTTTTTTTTAGACAGACTTTCGCTCTGTTGCCCAGGCTGGAGTGCGATGGCACGATCTCGGCTCACTGCAACCTCTGCCTCCTGGGTTTAAGCATTCTCCTGCCTCAGCCTCCTGAGTAGCTGAGACTACAGGCATGAGCCACCACTGGCTAATTTTTTTTTTGTATTTTTAGTAGAGAGAGGATTTCAACATGTGGGCCAAGCTGGTCTTGAACTCCTGACATCCTGACATTGAATGATCTTCCTGCCTTGGCCTCCCAAAGTGCTGGGATTATAGGAGTGAGCCACGAGCCATTTCTGTCACTGGACAGGAAGTGTTAGTGGAAAAATACTTACCTGTTTATTTGACCATTTTCTACTTCAGTGAAATCATTGGAATCATTGCTAATGTTGTCATCCTCAGGCACTGTCATGTTTTGCAACTCAGTTAATTCGAGTCCACTTTTGAAATGCATCATGATTAGAAAGTATCTGTAGTTCGAAAATTAGTCCAAATTTCTCCTGTTCTGAGTGTATTTAGAAGTAGATAGCAAAAATGGAAGCTTGACACCCCTAAAATAAAAAAATAAAAAATAAACATATGAAAATGCTACTGATTAAAAATAAATTACCACAAGTAAACAAGTAGTGAATTTACTGACTATACAAATTTTACATGTTGCTACTAGAGGCATTAAAGCAATCTTTATCTACAAAGTTATGTAGCTGTACCTAAATTTTATGCCTTTTAAAAATTTCCCTCCATTTTTAACTATACAGTGAACCATGTCCCATAATCTTAGTGATCAGACTTATAGGAATATCATGTTAGCTGTAGGTAGCAGAGATTCCCTTTTATGAAGCTGTGATTTTTTTTTTTTTTTTTTGAGGCGTCATTTTGCTCTTGTTGCCCAGGCTGGAGTACAGTGGTGCGATCTCAGCTCACTGCAACCTCCACCTCCCAGGTTCAAGCGATTCTCCTGCCTCAACCTCCCAAGTAGCTGGGATTACAGGCATGCGCCACCACACTCAGGTTTCTCCACGGGCAGGCTGGTCTCAAACTCCTGATCTCAGGTGATCCTCCGACCTCGGTCAGCCTCCCAAAGTGTTGGGATTACAAGTGTGAGCCACTGAGCCCAGCCTGAAGCAGTGTTTTTAAAATAAAAACAATTCAGTTATTTTAATATGTCAGATCACGGAGCACACATATAGCTGGGTACAGACTGCACAGACACAAAAGCACCTTCAGTTTAGCAACCGCAGCTTTAAAGAAATGCAAATCCTCAATAAATGGCATCACTGGGGATCAAGTACCCAACCTGGTAGTCAACCAGCAAACAATAAATTTGTGTTTTGAAATTTTGCATGTAGTTTATCCATCAACTGCAAGAGATTAAACCAATCTCTTCAATGAAATCACTTTATGTCAGGGAATTAGGGAATTAAAAACTCATACTCAAAGGATTTGGTTTAATCCAACTGCTACTATATTACTCATCAGAAATGAAAAACTTCCAGAGTTCACTTTTTCTCCCATATGGATGACTGTGGTTTAAATTTCTGAGGGATCACCCATAGTAAGCAGGGAGGAAAAAAGTTTTGGGGTCACAGCAGCCTCACGAGTTAAAAAGCATATGGCTTGTCTACAGTCATACCACCCTGAACATGCCCAGTCTCATCTAAAAAGCAATGGCCATAGAGGCAAATGCAACTTCAAAAGCAAGGCCTATAATGCATGGGGAGCCTCACTGTGATACCCTCAGCAAAGTGATGGGGACCATGACTTGAAGTAGAATGTCAATGAGCTGGTTTTTTTTTTTAAATGTCATTAGCCAATCCCCTTGGACAATGTTTTGTATTTCGTCTGATCCTAAATTCCGTAAGAAAGCTATAGCCTAGTTAAGGGTCAAACTCCAATGTGCCCAACTAAGTAGTATCTCAAGAAACATCTTACTAATTTCTATTATTTTGAAGACATACAGAAAGTACCCTAGAATAATAACTTTTCCAGGCATCCTTCTCTTTTTCTCTTTCCATAGCCAGGCCACACATTATTCTTTTCATCCACACAGTCTCCTATCTAGAATAAAACTGCCCTGGTTTCAGGATCCTCTAATGTGCCACAGCATACACATGTTTCTAACATTTCAGGTTCTAGAAACCTCGTCTTTGCTTCAGGGTAGGTGACCTCCTCAAGAAGGAGGAGAGCCAGGCTGGGAGATTTGAGCCCCATGACTCTTGGTCTGAGGCTGATTCCTCTAACCACAGTGGTGGTGCTAAAGACTGGCCTATCTCTGATTGTTTCTAGTACCTTCATGCAGTGGTGATGTTTTATCATCTGCTTTATTTTGCAAAAGCTGAAATGAATTAAAATGGTTAAGCCCCACTCTTATCCCTTGGCCCTCTTTGATAAAAGCTGTCCACGTGGGCTAAACTGGGTAATTTCTAAAAGTCTTGCCACACTGACTCCCTCTTGTGTGACTGCATCACAGGCTACTGAAGTGATATTACAGGGCTGATAGAAAGTTAATTCAGTGGATGGCATTTCTAATCCGGGTTAAGGAGACTTTTCTCTGCAAAATGGAAGGAAATAGGGCACCAGACAAAAATTTTCTGTGGTGAGAAAGGATTGACTAATAATAGAACTCAAGTCTACTGTTTAAATTTTCATATTAAAAATACATATGTCTGTATATATGTGTGAGTGTGTGTATGCATATCACACAAATGCACGTAAAACTAGTAAAAAATAGAAAAGTCAGAAGAATAAAAACAATAGATGAAGTCTTGGCCACTAAAATTAGGTCAGTATTATGAAAATACCATTACAAATTAATCACAAAGAATACATTTTTTATTATTATTAAATAACGTCTCTGAAACCTAACTTGTTCTTGAAAATCAAAATGGAAATTGAAAGGAAAAGTTAACAAAATAAATGGCACCTATTGCTGAGGCTACCCTTGAAAAAATAGTATCAATTCAATTTATCATATATTTATTGAGTACTAAGTGATGAAGGGATTGAAAAAGTTTGAATTTACAAAAGAAGACATATATGAGGCCAACAAACATATGAAAAAATGCTCATCATCACTGCTCATTAGAGAAATGCAAATCAAAACTACATTGAGATACCATCTCATGCCAGTTAAAATGGTGATCATTAAAAAATCTGGAGACAACAGATGCTGGAGAGGTTGTGGAGAAATAGGAACACTTTTATACTGTTGGTGGGAGTGTAAATTAGTTCAACCATTGTGGAAGACAGTGTGGCGATTCCTCAAGGACCTAGAAATAGAAATTCCATTTGACCCAGCAATCCCATTATTGGGTATATATCCAAAGGATTATAAATTGTTCTACTATAAGGACACATTAACCTGAATGTTCATTGCAGCGCTGTTTACAATAGCCAAGACTTGGAACCAACCCAAATGCCAATCGATGATAGACTGGACAGGGAAAATGTGGCACTTATACACCATGAAATACTATGCAGTCATAAAAAAACGATGAGTTCATGTCCTTTGTACGGACATGGATGAACCTGGAAACCATTATTCTCAGCAAACTGACACAAGAGCAGAAAATCAAACACCGCATGTTCTCACTCATAGGTAGGTGTTGAACAATGAGAACACATAGACACCGGGAGAGGAGCATCACACACTGGGGTCTGTTGGGGGAAATAGGGGAGGGGAAGTGAGGGGTGGGGAGTTGGGGAGGGATAGCAAAGGGGGAAATGTCAGATATAGGTGATGGGGAGGAAGGCAGCAAATCACACTGCCATGTGTGTACCTATGCAACAATCTTGCATGTTCTTCACATATACCCCAAAACCTAAAATGCTATTAAAAAAAAAAAAGAAAAGAAAAAGGTTGAAAAATGTTAAATGCAGGGATCTCAGGCAGCTTCAGAGAAAAGTCACATTTGGATTGGACCTTGAAAAAATTTTTTTCCTAATACTAAAAATAATACAATGGCAGGGCATGGTGGCTCACATTTGTAATCCCAAAACTGGGACATCCAGGTGGATCACTTAAGCCCAAGAATATGACACAACATGGCAGATCTCATCTCTATAAAAAAAGAAAAAAGAAAAAAAATTAGCTGGGTGTGTAGCGCGTGCCTGTGGTCCCAGTTACTTGGGAGGCTGTGGTGGGAGAATCACCTAAGCCAGGGGAGGTCAAGGCTACACTGAGATGTGATCATGCCATTGTGCTCCAGCCTGGGCAACAGAGTGAGACGCTGTCTCAAAAAATAAGTAAAGGAAACACATACTCACTGTAGAATCTTTAGAAAAGATATTGTAAAAGAAATTCTGCCACTCCCTAATGGGCTCCTGTTAAGCTTTTCCTTCCTTTTTTTCTTCCATTTTCCTTCTCCTTTCTTTTCTCTAGCTCCTCTTCCTTCTCCTTTTTAAATTTAGCGTTGGTGATTTTAGATTGTTTTTAACCTACTTTTTTCATTGAGTATTATATTGTAAGCATTTTGAAAAACAGAAGTGGTTCTTTTAAAAAAGATTATTTATTAATAAATGCTAATTTATTTATTTAAAAAATGAATAAATGAATGAATTAATTAACTAATACAGTTTGGCAGAAAAGTTAGAAAATAAAATTTTTCAAACAGAATAAAATGAGCAAAAAGAAAAAGTTCACCTGTTATCTCAGCAAGCGGAGACAATCACTGTATATGTATCACTGTATGGCCTTCCACGGTTTTTCTGTGCACATAGATGTAGTGCCTGGCACACAGCAGACACTCAATAAATATCTGTTAAATGAAAGAATGAGCACAAATTTAAAAATATATACATATTTACAAAAAATGGAAATTATACCTAACATTGAGTTTGTAAACACTTTTTTCACTTAACAAGATATTATTTCCTATCTTGAGTTATGTCAATAAGCATAGGTCTACACCATGACTGTTGATGCTTGGTTAACTCTGCCAGAAATTGACATCTAACCAGTGATTGCTGTACATTCAGACTGCTTCATGGAGAGGAGACTGACAGATGGAAAGTGGCCTGAGCTGAGACTTTTCAGTGGAGGGAGAACATGGTCAATGGCACAGAGGCAGGAAGTGCAGATTGAGTTCAAGAAACAAAGAACTATAGTTTCACTGAAAGAGAGAAATAATCATCAGCTTATATGATTAATTAAAAGGCAGACTAGGGTCAGCATGTGAAGGTCTTCGCATTAACACAACCATAATTACTATCTGTCAACATTTATAATAGGTTACAAATGACAATTTAGCACAGAATGTTTCTGATTCTTACCACAATCTTGTGAGGTACTTAAGGAAAGCATCAATTTCTTGTTATGCTTATTAGTACATTTTATTTAAAGAACCAATGTAAAATACAGAATCTTGCTATTTATACTGCATGGTGTTATATATCAGAGGAGAGGATACACAAAGAAACTTATCTGGCCTTAAGTCACTTAGAGCCTATTTAAGCAAGCAAGACCAACCCATCTAAAATGACACTATACCTCAAAATATTTGCACGATATAGACCAAACTACATGGTAGAATGAATAATAAGTACAGAAGGATTTCAGAGATACACATATCTACATAGTGCATACATGCATGAAGGAAAGAAGGAAGCAAGGAAGGAAAGAGGAAAAGAAAATAGAAATGTAGAGAAATCAATGAGACCAATGAGATCAGGTAAGGTTTCAGCAGGTGCAGCAGCAGCAGGTGGCCCTGTAGTCAAACAGTTGTGGCTGTAATTTCTGATCATCAGATTTGGCTCAAGTGATGTGTTTCTGGAGCATACCTTGAGCTAATGGCTTCCTGATTTCCTGAAGGAGGCACAGATAGCATTTAACCTTAGCAAGTGAGTTGAATATGTTGTTATGCTAATTATTTCTAGAAGCCCAGCCTAGAGCCTGCACTGCCAATAATTTTAACAAATTTGTAGGCACTGAATTCCCTATGTTAAATCTGTTTTCCTTAGTATAAACAGATTTCTGTTAAATGAAACTGAATCCTGACTGATATCCTTAATTTTGTTTATTTCACCCTTAAATTTTTTCTATTACTGGAAATTTTAAACATATGTAAGGGTAGACAATGGTATAATGAATTCCCATATACCAACTTCAATTATCAATTCAGGCCTGTCTTATTGGATTTTTTATGCCCACCGTCACCTAGAATTATTTTGCAGGTCCCCAAAATCATGTCATCTGTAAATATTTCAGCATGAATCTCTGAAAGGCAAGAATCTTCTTCTTAATACCATGACATCACTATCAAACCTAAAAAAATTACAAAAATTTTTAAATAATACTACATATCCTGCCACATACACTTAATTTTAAAACTTGTCATGAATCATCATTGGTTTTTTATTATGAAGGACTAATATAATCAGACCTCTCCTAGCTCAACTCCTGAGAATCAATTATGGAAGCTAGGTCAGTGATTTTGAGAAAGTATTAATAGACATTTCTCTAAAGAAGACATAAAAATGGCCAAGAAGTATGTGAAAAAGGTGCTCAACATTATTAACGATCAGGGAAATGCAAATCAATACCACAATGAGCTATCCTCACAGCTCTTAGGACAGCCATTATAAAAAGTCAAGAGATATCAAGTGTTGGCAAAGATATGGAGAAAAGGGAATCTTTGTACACTGTTGAAGAGAAGGTAGATTGGTGCAGCCATTGTAGAAAACAATATGAGGGTTCCTAGTAAAATCAAAAGTAGAACTTTAATTGTTCATATGACCCAGTAATCCCACTTACCCATATACCCAAAGAAAATGAAATCGCCATCTCATAAAGACATGTATACTCCCATGTTCATTGCAGCATTATTCACAATAGCCAAGATACGGAAGCAACCTATGTGCCTATTGATGTGAATGGATAAAGAAACACAGGCACATATAAAATAGAGTATTATTCAACCTTAAAAAAGAAAGGTATCCTCTCATTTGCTACAACATGGATGAATCTGGAGGACATTATGGTAAGTAAAATAAGCCAGAGATAGAAAGAAAAACACTGTGTGATCTCATGTATACATGGTATCTTTTTATAAAAGAAGTCTAATACACAGACATAAATAAAACAGTTGTTACAAAGAGTTTGCGGAGGAAATGTGGAGATGTAGGTGAAAGGATATAAAGTTGCAGGTATGTGGGATGAACAAGTCTAGGGGTACAACATGAGGATTGCAGTTAATACAGTTTGAGTATCCCTTATCAAAAATGCTTGGGACCAAAAGTGTTAAAAAAAGGGGTACTGATCCAGACCCCAAAAGAAGGCTCTTGGATCTCATCCAAAAAAGAATTCAGGACAAGCCCACAGTGCAAAGCAAAAGCAAGTTTATTAAGACAGTAAAGGAATAAAAGAATGGCTACCCCTGAGGGCTGCTGGTTGACCATTTTTATGGTTATTTCTTGATGACATGCCAAAGAGTGGATTATTCATGCCTACCCTTTTTAGACCATATAGGATAACTTCCTGACATTGCCATGGCATTTGTAAACTGTCATGGCACTTGTGGGAGTGTAGCAGTGAGGATGACCAGAGGTCACTCTCATTACCATCTTGGTTTTGGTGGGTTATAGCCAGCTTCTTTACTGCAACCTGTTTTCATTAAGGTCTTCAAGATGACCTGCACTTTGTGCTAACCTCCTAATTTCATTCTGTGACTTAGAATGCTTTAACCGTCTGGATATGCAGCTCAGTGAGCCTCAGCCTCCTTTTACCCTGCTTCTATTTAAGATGGAGTTGCTCTCATTCACATGGCTCTGACATACCCTCCTCCCTTATATAAGAGAACCCTTAATCCTAAAGGTTGCAGAAGGACAAAGATCCATCTCCTGTAACCTCCTCAGACTGAATAGGGGTGATGATATTCCTGCCTAACTATGACAATCTCTTGTATTCAGGGTAGAGAAGAGCTCATTCAGAAAGCATCAGTATGGAGAAGGACATTCATGACACAAGTTCTGGCAAAAAGTGATGTTTGGAAGATTAATAAGTGTTCAATTCAAGAAAGCATTGAGTAAGCGTATCCTTATTCCTATACAGAGTACAATAGCAATGTATTCCATGAGAGTAAAGCGAAATAAGTAAAATTATCAAGTAAATTAAATTACAAGGCTTCCCCTGAACTGAGCAACTGTTGGAACCAAGCTGATATGGGGTTCCCAGATGATTCCAGTATGTCCAGAATTAGAATATTGATCTAGATTTTTACATTATCCATCCCTCTTGTTTCTTCTGAGCAGCAGTGAGAGATCAATGTTTGGTTCACAGGAATAAGCAAGGTTAGCCTAAATTGCAGAAACAAACTTAAAAACAACTGATGAGACTAGAATTTAATAACAAGTGTACCATAGTTCTTGAAACATAGTTTCTCTCTCCAGTTTCCCATTTTTAACTAAAGACAAATCATAGAAACATTGATTTGCTTTATTATACTTGGCCTGATTTTTTGTATAAAGTGCAGCAAGAATAATTATTTTTCACATAAGCATTTTGTAATTGGGCTTTGATGGAACTCTGCTCCATAGAAGGAATCTGAGATAAGACTTTTTTAGAACCAAGCCTTGCAATGGGTTTGAACCCTCAAATGCCTGTGAATTGGGTAAATTTCTCCCCTTTTGAGGTCCCAAGATAACTTGGGACTCCTGGACCTGTTAGAAAGTGACATTCTTACCACAGGTTAGAAACCCCATATAGGGACTGTGTAGGCAAGTATGAGGCCAATTCCTCAAAGGGCTTTTATTGGCTTTACAAGTCAAGTTTGATTCCTTAAGGAAAGCATGTGATTCCAGTCAAAGCTTGGTAAAATAACGAGTATCTCCAGGTATGTCCTGTTACAAAAGAAAACAGATTCTTATTGCACTTATGCAAATAACTATATTGCTAGAAATTAAGAATACTCACAGGTAGTTTCCAGATTCTGGAAAACTCAGATAGAGAGAAAGAAACATGCTCCAAATTTTGTTCAGAGAAGTATACTTTTGCATATAAATACAAATAGCTCAAAAATAGCTGTAAATAGCTCAAAAGAAAAGTTTCCTTGACTCTGAAAAACAAAACAAAGGGTCAGCAACATTTTAAGCAAAGTCAAAATATTACTTTATTATTCTATTGTTTCAGTTAATTTAGTTAACTCCTATTCTACTTGATATTCGTGAACATTTCAGCCCTCTATGAGAGTTCTGAAAGCATTTTCTTCTATTCTAATATCACAATTTCCAATGGTATCAGAAACTTGCATTTAAGAACCTCTGTCAAAGTCCTATAGCTGATTATAAAACCACCTTTTAAAGAGGGTTAAAACAAGACAATAATTGTCTGTGGATAACAAAATCTTTTAGAACAGCCACTATTAAAGCCACAATTGACTAGAAAATTTGGGTTCCCTCTGTGGCACACAATGATTTTATGTAACAATTATAATTATTAATAACATATACTAAGTCATATCAGAATTATAGAAGTTTCTCATGTTTTAGAACACATACCAATAACGTATTTATACAAATATAGCCCAAAGAAAACCAAACACCATTTTATATTTGATAATGTTTCCTATATAACTTTTATAGCAAATAAACCAAATGTCACTGTTGCATTAGTGCATTATTGATGTCAAACCCAATTCTGTTTTTTTTTCAATGCTGAAGTAATTTCTTTTTCTTTAGTTATACTTTAAGTTCTGGGGTATATGTGCCGATCATGCAGGTTTGTTACATAGGTATACACGTGCCACGGTAGTTTGCTGCATCCATTCCCTTGTCATCTACATTAGGTATTTCTCCTAATGTTATCCCTCCTCAGAGTCTCCCTCTATGGCCAGGCTGGAGTGCAGTGGTGTGATCTCAGCTCACTGCAACCTCCACCTCCAGGGTTCAAGCGATTTTCCTGCCTCAGCCCCACTAGTAGCTGGGACCACAGGCACACACCACCACACCTAGCTAATTCCTGTATTTTCAGTAGAGATGGGGTTTCAATCATGTTGGCCAGGATAGTCTCAATCTCTTGACCTCATGATCTGCCTGCCTTGGCCTCCCAAAGTGCTGGGATTACAGGCATAAGCCATCATTGCCTGGACAGTCAAACCCAATTCTTAATGAAACCTTCTAGATAAATGCATTTAATCTTATTCAGTTTGACCATAAAGTAAGATCTTCATAAACCTTTTATAACCCTTTACAAATTTTTGTTAAAGAGCAGATCATAAGCAGGTTTTTGCTCTAAGAAAAACAGTTGTGCTTTTATTCCAATGTTTAACTTAATGATACCCCTTTAATTTTCGCCCATGTCCACATATACAATATTTTTTTACAAGATTAATTTTTTACAAACTTTCCATAACTTTCTTAACACTCAGCATTATTCTATCTTACTTAAACAATCATTTAACCCTTTAATTTTGGCAAGAAAAATCCACATTCCCATACCTTCTTATAATCTTTCACCAAAAACACATTTCACTTTTTTTACACACTTTGCATGTAGAACTGTTTTGTCAGTTGTCTTAATTAAATGTTACAGTGTTAACTCTTAGTGACTTTTCCTTTTGATGAAAACCTTGGTAAGTTCAGGATTTTAATTATGTAGTAGGTGTGGAGCCTAGGATAGTACACGGAAGTGCAGATAAGGGCTTGCTTTTTCCAGCACAGCTAGGGGTGTAGCTACTCCACATGTCCCTGGACTTATCTAGAATCTAATGCTCCAAAGTAGGTAAATTGAACAATTTACAAAAGTCAAAGAAGCAGTTTATGCCCTTAAAGCATTTAGCAAACTTAATATCTGACCTGCATAATTGAGACAAAATGTCTTTATTTTACCAATAATCTTTAAAACTATTTTTATTTCCCAAAGATTAATTAAGTCACATGAACTAAAAGGCATTACACTTCTTACTTTTCTGACAGGATATTTGATTTAAGTTCATTATTATTAAACCAATTAATTAAAGTTCTTTTATTTTACACACACATAATACATATAAATACGTAGACAGACAGAAGATAAAGAATCATCCCTCTAGGCCAGGAATTGAACCTTGAACCTGGGCTGCCATTGTGATGGCAGAGACCAAGGGAAAGTATTGCCACATGGTTACAAGGTCAAGCTCCCAAGGTGACTGACCAGAAGGAAACCTTATCAAGTTTGCGTGCACCCACACCCACCGAGAGAGAGAGAGAGAGAGAGAGAGAGAGAGAGAGAGAGAGAGAGAGAGACCAGAAGTCTGACTGGAAAGAAATTCTTGCCCTATTGCCAGTTTGCCAGGCTTCTGGGTTCCCCCTCTCTGAGACCTGGCTGGCTGCATCACAGCCCTGAGGGCCAAGCTGCAACACAAAGGAAATTTCTCTTTTTCCATTCTGGCCAGAGCAAAACATGTGTTACAAAACATAGTATTAGCCACTCTGCTTAACACCCAATATCGAACTGGCAAGGCTCAAACTTGCCCCATCATTGTTAACCCAACCTCCAACCAAGAGTTTCAACATGTGGTCTCTGGGTAAGATGGTCACCCTCAGTAACGGAAAAGATAAGAAATGGAAAGGAGAGAGAAAAGCATTGCCTGTGGCAGGGTGGAGAAGGTGAAATGCTCAGGGAGGCCAGAAAAAGACCCACCCACTGCAGCGTCACTGAAAAGTTCAGGTAGCTGCTTGTTAGTCAAGAAGAGATCTTTTGCAGCAGTCCCATCAGCTCTCAAGTTTCCCCTTTTAGTTAAGAAAAAGCTCTCCCACAATTTTGAACATGCCTAATCCTGTCACCCACAGCCATCAGCAGGGACTGGAAGGCAGATTACTCCCAAGAGAATAACAGTTAACATGCTGTGATACCAAGCCCATTGTTAGCCAAGAAGGACTTTACTGAGAGGGACTTCTAACCCCTAAATCTTAGGAGGATTTCTAAGCCTCCTAAGTTGGGCCTCTAAGCCAAAGTTGGTCAAGTGTCCTTGTCTTTTACTGAGAGGAGGCTTTAACCCTCTCTCTCTTAGGAGAAACTCTAATTCTCTTAAGTTGGGCCTCTAACCCAATCCCATTCATTACCCGGGTACCCACCCCATGCCCACTTACCCAAAGTCAGCTGATCAGTACTGCAGTCTATTACCTTTGGGTTGTAGGGCTTCTTCAGTATTGTACCCTCAGGGTTTGCCAGAAAAATGTTACCAGCCCCTACCACTTACCCAAAGTTAGCTTTTGGGTTGGGAGTTTCCTCACTATAGTTGCTTCAGTGGTTGCCAGAAAGATGTTGTTACAGGACCCCAACACTTATTGGGGGTTTCTTCAGTATACCCCCTTTGTGGTTTCCAAAAAGATGGTACAGGAAAAGGGTCCCAAGCCAGACCCCAGAAGAGGGTTCTTAGATCTTGCACAAGAAAGAATTCAGGGTGAGCTTATAAAGTGAAAGCAAGTTTATTAAGAAAGTAAAAAAAATAAAAGAATGGCTACTTCATAGTCAGAGCAGCCTTAGGGCTGCTGGTTGCTCATTATGGTTATTTTCCTATGATATGCTAAACAAGGGGTGTGTTATTCATGTGTCCCATTTTTAGACCATATAGGGTAACTTCCTAATGTTGCCATGGCATTTGTAAGCTGTCATGGCGCTGGTGGGAGTGTAGCAGTGAGGACGACCAGAGGTCATTCTCATCACCATCTTGGTTTTGGTGGGTTTTAGCCAGCTTCTTTACTGCAACCTGTTTTATCAGCAAGGTCTTTAAGACCTGTATTTTGTACTGACCTCCTATCTCATTCTGTGATTTGAAATGCCTTAACCATCTGGGAATCCAGCCAGTACATCTCAGCCTCATTTTACCCAGCTCCTATTTAAGATGGAGTTGCTCTGGTTCACTTGCCTCTGACAGAAGTAGTTTAGATTTTGGATATTTTGGATTTTGGAATATTTGCATACATATTATATCTTGGGTGTGAGACCCAAGTCCAAACTTAAATTCATTTGTTTCATATACACCTTACAAACATACCCTCAAGGTAATTTTACATAATATTTTTCATAATTTTGTCCATAAGACAAAGTTTTCACTGCATTTTGACTGTGACCTATCACAGGACGTTAGGTGTAAAATGTTCTACTTGTGGCATCATGTCAGTGCTCAAAAAGTTTTAAGTTTTGGAGCATTGTGGGTTTTAGGCTTTTAAAAAATGTATTTATTTATTTTTTCATTTATTGAGATGGAGTCTCGCTCTGTCACCCAGTCTGGAGTGCAGTGACGAGATCTCCACTCACTGTAACTTCCGCCTCCCAGGTTCAAGAGATTCTCCTGCTTTGGCCTCCTGAGTAGATGGAATTACAGGCACACACCACCATGCCTAGCTAATTTTTGTATTTTTAGTAGAGTCAGCTTTCACCATGTTGGCCAGGCTGGTCTTGAACTCCTAACCTCAGATGATCCACCTGCCTCAGACTCCCAAAGTGCTGGGATTACAGGCGTGAGCCACCATGCCCAGCCAGGGTCTTGAATTTTTGGATTAGTGATGCTTAACCTGTAATATTGTGTTGTATATTTGGGATTTTTTGCTAAAAGTGGATTTTAGATGCTCTTGCCACAGAAAAAGAAGCGACTATGTGAGATGGTGGATATATTAATTTTCTTGACTCTACTAACCATGTTATCATGCATATGAATACCAGAACATCATGTTGCACACCTTAAAAACAATTTTTAAAGCAGAGAAAGAAAGTGTTAGGCCTAAGGTCAACAATGGTCCTATAATTCTGGACCAGCTAGTCCTATAACTGATTGTGTCTGTTTACCCACTTGGGGTTCTTGGATTCTTAGGGTTCACAGGTGATAGTGATATGGATCTATAAACTAATATGGATCTATATTTCAAAAGGCCTCAAACAGGCTAAACAGGTTAACTAAAAGGTCAAGTATCCACACTTTTAGCAAGACTGTATTAACTTGATGATAATCCTGAATTTTGATTGGGGCAATTTTCTATACCTTTGAGTAATAAAAATGGGAAATGAATTAATATAATAAAGTCAATACTCAAAACTCATTAAACAGTATACTTAATATCTAGACATTGCATTGGA